GCCGTGCCCGTGAGGAGCAGCTGGAGTTGGAGAGAGAGGAGAGAGAGTTGCAGTGGCTGGTGGAGCAGCCGCAGCAGCAGGAGCAGCTGCAGCAGCCGCAGCTGGAGCCGCCGCAGCAGCAGGAGGCGCAGGAGCTGGAGCCGCTACAGCAGCAGGAGGAGCAGCAGCTGCCACCGCAGCAGCAGCAGCCGCCGCCGCCGCCGCCGCCGCAGCAGCAGCAGCAGCCACCGCCTCCTCCTCCTGTCTCCGGTCTTCGGGCCCTCGGTCTCCCCTCCCGCTCTCCTTCCTCCTCCCCCTCTCCTCCCGTCTCGGGTCCTCTGCTTCCTCCTCCTGACCCCTCTCCAGCTGTTTTCCCTCGTTCTCAGTCTTCGTTGTCCCCTCCTCCTTCTCAGTCTTGGGCCTCTCGTCGCTCCCCTCGTGCTCGTCCCTCGTCTCCTGTTCTCGTTACTGACCTTCGTACTGCCCTCTTTCGTTCTAGTCCGCCTCGTTCGTCTCCGTCTCTCCTTCCGTCTCCTCCTGAGTCGGCCTTCACTGCTTCTCTCTCTACTCCTGTCACTGACTACTACCGCACGTACCGTCCTATTCTCTCTCGTGTTCTTGCCTCTCTTGTTACCGACCCTCGTGCCTCTGTCTCCTCTGTCTCCGCCCTTACTGCCGCAGTCACTGAGTTTGCCTCCACTCACCGCCTTGACTACGCCACCGGTCTTGTGGCTGCTCCTCCTACCAGTCCTCTGGCCGTCGGGGGTGAGTCTGCCCTTGGCTGTGACGTCCTAGAGGACAGGCAGTTTGAGCTAGAGTTCCTGGCAGCCGCTTCCCCACATCTCTGTGCCATGCTGCTCGCCCCTGAGGGAGACCCCGACGCCCTTGACATACCGACTCCTCGCACTTACGCTGAGGCAGTGTCAGGGCCTTGGGCCTCTCAGTGGAGAGCTGCCATGGACGCAGAGATGGCCTCCTACAGATCCACAGGCACCTACGTCGACGAGGTTCCCCCCCCTGGGGCGAACGTAGTCGATGGCATGTGGATCTACAGGGTGAAGCGGCCACCGGGATCTCCTCCGGTCTTCAAGGCGCGCTACGTGGCTAGAGGTTTCAGTCAGCGCGAGGGAGTTGACTTCTTTCAGACCTTCGCGCCCACCCCGAAGATGACCACTCTTCGGGTGTTACTGCACGTAGCAGCACAGAGAGAATACGAGTTACACTCTCTCGACTTCTCTACTGCGTTTCTTCAGGGTAGCCTACACGAGGAGGCCTGGCTGCGTCGTCCCTCTGCCTTCACTGGCACTTTCCCTCCTGGGACCCAGTGGAGGCTGAGGCGACCGGTCTACGGTCTCCGTCAGGCTCCTCGTGAGTGGCACGACACCCTTCGTTCTACCCTCGCTGACCTTGGTTTTCAACCGTCGTCTGCCGACCCGTCGCTGTTCGTTCTTCGTGGCTCCACACCGTTCTTTGTTCTAGTCTACGTCGACGACCTGGTTTTCTCCACTGCTGACAGGGTTGCCTTGGCAGACGTGAAGTCCGAACTGCAGAAGAGACACACGTGCACTGACCTTGGTGAGCTGCGTCACTACCTTGGCCTGCAGATCACCAGGGACAGAGCTGCTCGCACCATTACACTCTCACAGTCACACATGGTGCAGCAGGTCCTTCAGCGGTTCGAGCTTCAGCACTCCACAGTACAGCGCACACCTCGTGCTGTTGACCACAGCCTCACTGGACCCTTTCCTGACGAGCCGTTTGAGTCCAGTGGTCCCTACGCAGAGCTAGTGGGCTGCCTCATGTACCTGATGACTTTTACTCGCCCGGACCTCGCCTTCCCTCTCAGCGTCCTTGCTCGCTTTGTTGCGCCAGGGAGGCACCGTCCTGTTCACTGGATGGCAGCTGTGAGGGTGGCGAAGTACCTAGCGACGACATCAGGCGTGGGGCTAGTTCTTGGTGGGCAGCAGCCTGTCGTACTTACTGGTCACTGTGACTCTTCTTACGCTGACGACGCTGAGACTCACAGGTCTACTCAGGGGTACTGTTTCAGCTTAGGTTCTGGAGCTGTTTCCTGGCGGTCCACGCGCTCCTCTTCAGTCTCGACCTCTACAGCTGAGGCTGAGATCTACGCTGGTGCCATGGCGGCACAGGAGCTGCGTTGGTTGACGTTTTTGCTCGCTGACCTTGGTGAGCGGCCGAGCTCTGCACCGACCTTGTTCACTGACAACAAGGCATCGATTCTCCTCTGTCGTGAGCCGCGACTGGAGAGCAGAGTGAAGCACATTCACGTCAGGTACTTCCTTCTGCGAGAGTTGCAGAGACGTGGACAGGCTCGCTTCGAGTTTGTGGAGTCCGAGGCCAACACTGCAGACATCTTCACCAAGGCGCTTCCGCCTTGTGACCACCAGAGGTGTTGTGTGCAGTTAGGCCTTGTTGACACAGGTTCCAGTCGTGTATAGGCTTGAGTTTACTGTTTGCTTTGCTTGTACTCTTGCTATACACACTTGTGAACTCTTGGACTAGCCTTGTGGCCACTGTTGCTTGTGCTCAGAATGTGTGGTGACGTTGTGATCCACCCTGAGCTTTGTATCTTTGTGACTAGTCTTATGACCGTACACTTTTGGTTTTGCTAGACACCCCTCACTTAGGCTATGGGGGTGTGTCAAATGTTGTAGCCTGTAGTGAGGTTTGTCTTAGGGGGTACAGAGGTTAGGGTTTGTCATATGTACCCCAACTCACATCAATGACACCAACACTTCTATTCTTGACAATAACACCCTAGGGTATAGCTAAAAATACAGGGAAAAAATGGGGGGGGTCTCCTCATAGGAAAAAAATACATAATACCCGGGTCATTACATATGGCATATTTTAGTGTTAGTGTTTATTTAATTAGACAATGTGGGTGTTTTGATTTTCAGTTTAACATCACTGTCTGAGGCGCGAATGTAATTTTCGGCCACGAACTTCATCACCCCCACGAAAATGCCATGTGGCACCTCTCTTGCCACTTGCAGCGGAAGATTTGCCTACACGTGGCGACATTGAAGTAGTGGGAGGGAGGTGGGAAATCTCGGTAGATTGTAAGTGAATGTACCACGAAATTTCATCCGGGGAGAAATTTTCGCGATATTCTTCCGTATTACAGCTTCTCGTTAACGACTATAATAACGAATTCGTAAGAAAAGGGGGGTGTTATAGAAAATCAGTCAAAAAGGGGGGTATAGTAGAAACGAGGTCTATTATAACACCCACCCCGCACAAGCTACCCGGGGGTGTACAATTACGGGGGGGTGTTTTGTCCGGGAGAATACGGTATGTCATTATATAAGTGCATGCGCTTATAAAAATGACTCAATTAGAAGCGCACCCCCCTAAAAAACTCTTCTTTATTATAAGCGCAGGTGCCAGGGCCTATTTTTGGATTTTAGGTACTCTGATTTCCAGAGTAGTTTTTTTCCCAACTCTGAAATCTAGGGTTGTTCCTGCGCCTTACTCTGATTTGTCAGAGTAACCCTATACTTTCAAAAAAAACCCAGGCACGTCAGAGTAATATTTTTCTCTACTCTGATGTTAGTTAAGTTTGGTGTACCATGACCTTAATAGGTTTTTGTTACGCCTTTTGTACTTGCATTTCCGCGTCGCCCACGTTTCCCCCCTCACTGCGATGTTTCAGAGTGAGGTGTTGGCGGCACCGATAATCTGACTAAGGGCGTGTCCGAAGTGAAACGTCAATAGATGTCGCTGGATGTCGGTAAATGTCATCCCTCGGATCGACAGTTCCAACCGTCAGGATTTACCGACATCCCCAAACGGATGTCCACGGATGTCGACGTTTCACTTCGGACACCCCCAAAGAGCGTGTCTGAAGTGAAATGTCGACGGATGTACAGTTTCGTCGGGGAATGCTGGCGAATCTCAACCCTCGGATTGAGCGTTCCGACCGTCAGGATTCCTCGACGTCCCTCAAAGTTTCGTCGGGAAACGTCGACGTTCACTTCAGACATAAAGAGAGAGGGGACTGGCTGGCATCGTGCGCTGGTTGGGAAAGTTGTCAAACTACGGTAGCCAATCAGTGCTCTGCTCATATTGCCGCCAACACACGACAGAAATCAGGAGAATGATCTCGACGATTCGGGGAAAACCCGCTAAACGCAGGGGGAGGTGGGGAGGGGAGGGGGGCGGGGGAGGGGGGGCCGGCAGGTATTCCCTATACAGAGTAAATTCGGTCCACGAAAAAAAAACCCAGAGGCCTCAGAGTAAACTACAGCATAGCTCTGACAAATCAGAGAAATCGGAAGTCCCAAAAAAATTACCCAGCGGGTACAGAGTTACTTTCAAAAATGACTCTGATTTTCAGAGAAACAGAGTAATTTACTCTGAAAACGTGAGGCCTGGCAGGTGCGCTTCTATCCGGGGTAATACGGTATCAGAGCGAAGGTCTCAGGTTCGAGTCCCGGTGTATGCACTTCAGGCATCCCAGTGCGGGGGGGTGTCAGAGGTCCACTGGTGATCCTCGATTGATCCTAGGGAAGGGTTACAGGCACGTTGGCCTGGGGGGTTATGGGCGCACTGACCCGCTACTTAACAAGCCTTTTTATCCCAATGGTCTAGTGGTTGGGATTCTGACAACTAATGCTCGTTTGTGGCGTGGAATGTAACTCTGGTTTTAGTAGAACTTGTCTCACTAAATCGGGGCGCGCTGTTCAATGTACGCTGTGCAGCCGTATGAGAACCCTGGATTAGCATTCAAAAATGCGACCCAGGAGCTTTACCGTGCAGTTGGCTTTGTGTAGGATGGTCCATACTGTTCTGTCAATCAGGAATGTGTGTGACAACCCTGAAAAACTCGAAATTTTACAGCTGGAAGGAACCATATAAATATCTATACAATACGCTGTATCCCGTAGATAAATGTGCTCGCTAGCTATGCACGTTACTTTTCTGTGACTTAATACGAAGAACCAGGGCAGGAGATTACGCGGGGAAAGGGACGAGGGGCAGGGAAGGCATTGGGCATGTCAACGTGGCTTGAAGGAGGCACTGAGAGATTGACCCAGGATGAACCACGTGGTGGTGAGCAATGCTCCCACGCTTGTATGGATAAATACCCTATCGAGTACAAACCCGTACACGGAGATTCCCACTGCTGAGCTGGACAGGAAGTTGACTGTTGGAAGCAGAGGGCGCGAGGGACAGCACAAGGGGTCGATGCGGCCGTAAGGGCGCGACCATAGGGTCAGTGGCAGAGCATTCACAGCAGATGGGATGACAAATGTGATGCATGGCATGATGGCAGAGCACTGAGCAAGGAAGTGCAAGGGACTCCCACAGAACATGGTGCCAGCAGGGGTCGCACACAGGAGGGTGAGGAGAGACATACAAGGAGTGGAAGCATGTGAGCATGGGGGGGTGGGGAGACATTGGAAGGAGGCAGTGGGGGTACCAAGAGCAGCGCGCTGTGCCCATGCCTCCTGTCTCTGCAGCAGCTCCAGTGTCAGCGCCATCTCTCCATCCCTCCCTCCCCACCCTTCCCCCTCCATCCCATGCACATGGCCTTGTGCTGCGCCATGGCTTGCGAGCACTGCAGGCTCCTGGGCAGGCCATGGTGCTGCATCTGCGTGCTGCCCACGTGGTGCGCGTAACAGGGGTTCAGTGAGCCCCCTGGATGGAGAACGATGGGGGCCATGTTGGGGAGTAGTGGAGGGGCATGTAGGCGTGGTGCTGCTGCAGCTGCCAGTTGTGAATCTGCGACCGGAGGTTGTGTCGCTGTTGCTGTTGCTGGTGATGCTGTTGCTGCTGCTGGTGGTGCTGTGGGCAAGTGAGGTGGTGTACGGGCGCAGCACGGGTGAGCCAGTGTATGCGCGGTCCACCAGGTCAGCACAAGGGGCAGTCGTGAGGTCAAACGAGGGGTGGGCGGCGGGCAGGGAAGGTTGGGGGCACAGCACGCTGGAGGGTGGAGAGCTGTGGCGAGGGGGGATTGCTATGGGGTTGACGGGCGAGAGAGCGCGGACTGTAGGCTGCAGGAGAGCAGGAGGGGCAGTGTGAGCGAATGGCGGTGGAAATGCAGGGGGGAAGGAGAGGGAGGGAGTGGGGGGGAGGAGGGGCGCGGAGTCGAAGGTGTGCTGGGCGTGCATGGCGGCGGCGACTCGCACGATGCGGCGGTGCAGGTGGGCGAGCTTGGACGCACAGCGCAGACACATGCCCGTGCCCACCAGCGCCACCACGTTCGCCACCTGCCACCGCAATGCCAGAACAGACATGCGTGGGACGGCAGTGTGGGAACCAAAAGAAGCATAGAATGAGAAAGGCATGGCAAGTGGTGAGAATGACAAGGAGGCAGCGCGACTCACAATGAGGTGGCCGGAGTTGAGGAAGGAGAGGGGCGTGGGGCCATCGCGGTACTGCACCATGTGGAACATGGACGCCAGCGCGCCCAGCAGCGTGATGGCAAAGGCGAGCAGCAGGAAGAGGCGGAAGCGGCGGCTGATGCCCGCCAGCCCCGCGGAGATGCGCGTGTACTCGAAGAAGCAGAAGGCGGGGTCGCTGCACCGCTGCACCACGTCCCTGTACCCCTGCATCTTCAGCTCCTGGGGGGGGGGGGGGGGGGGTGTCGGAAGGGGGGAAGGGGTTTGTGAGTAGAGTGCGGATGGACGGGTGCAGTTGGAGGTGTGGGTAGCAGGTGGTGGCAGAGCGAGCGTCCCCCATGGAGGAGGGCGCGCTGACATCACATGGAACAGCTTGGAGTCCCAGCACCCACCACGCACTGTGTCGCCGCACTCAAGGTTGCATGCGTCGGGGAGGGCGGTGACAATGTGAACATGGGTGAGGGGCGGCTTGTGTGGGGTTTTGGGGGTGGAGGGAGCATACCTGCAGGGAGCAGGCCTTGGAGAAGAGCACGCAGGTGAAGAGGAAGGTGGAGGCGGCGAAGAGCCAGGAGATGGAGCCCAGCAGGAAGAGCAGCGCCAGCTGCACCACGTGGTAGCGCGGCGGCAGCAGGTGCGGCTCCGTGCGCAAGGGTATGCAGGCGAAGAGCAGCGCCTTGTGCAGCAGATGCAGCAGGAAGAGCGGCATCAGCAGCCACAGCAGCATTGCACGGTTTTGCTGCCGGCGCAGGTGGCGGAGAGAGGGGTGGGGCGAAGGAAATGGGGGAAACGGGGGGTTAGAGTAGAGAGAGATGATGGAACAGCGAGGAATGAAGCGGTAGTGGGACTAGGGAAGCGGTAGTGGGACTAGGGAAGCGGTAGTGGGACTAGGGAAGCGGTAGTGGGACTAGGGAAGCGGTAGTGGGACTAGGGAAGCGGTAGTGGGACTAGGGAAGCGGTAGTGGGACTAGGGAAGCGGTAGTGGGACTAGGGAAGCGGTAGTGGGACTAGGGAAGCGGTAGTGGGACTAGGGAAGCGGTAGTGGGACTAGGGAAGCGGTAGTGGGACTAGGGAAGTGGTAGTGGGACTAGGGAAGCGGTAGTGGGACTAGGGAAGCGGTAGTGGGACTAGGGAAGCGGTAGTGGGACTAGGGAAGCGGTAGTGGGACTAGGGAAGTGGTAGTGGGACTAGGGAAGCGGTAGTGGGACTAGGGAAGCGGTAGTGGGACTAGGGAAGCGGTAGTGGGACTAGGGAAGCGGTAGTGGGACTAGGGAAGCGGTAGTGGGACTAGGGAAGCGGTAGTGGGACTAGGGAAGCGGTAGTGGGACTAGGGAAGCGGTGACTGTAGTTGGGCTATGCTAGCAATAGTGCGCTGCTGTAGCTCTGCGGTGTGTAGCTGTTGCCTTACCTTGTGTGTACCTTGGTGGTATTAATACAAGGGACCGTTCGAGAAAGAGAAGGTTGAGGATGAAGAGAGCGCCTTCTGTCACCTCACTGCACTCGAAATGCCTTCAACGTTCCACCACCTCGCAACATCCCCCCAATCGCCCGCACTAACCCCCATCCCACCACCTTTCAAACCACCCTTCCCACCCAGAGTGCCCCATGCCCTCAGGTGGTGTGGCGCTGTGCGCTGTGTGGCCCTCTGCCCACCTGCAGTGCGTGCAGGTACTGCGCCTGCAGCGCCTCGTCCTCCTGTGCCGCGGAGTCCAGGAAGAGCACCGCGTGCAGCCCGTGCGTGCGCAGCGCCGCCCGCAGGAACAGAAACGCCACCACGCCCAGCGAGTTGTGCAGCAGCAGCACGAGTAACTGGAAGGGCAGCTGCAGCATGGGAAGAAAAAGGGGAGGAGTGGGTGGGAGGAGCAGGGGAGAGAGAGGATAGGAAGGAGATGAGGGGAAGAGAGAGAGTTGGGAAAGTGAAGAGACATGTGGTAAGTGAGGGGAGAATGGGGAACGGGTCTGGTGGGAGGTGGCTAGGGGTTGTTGAGCAGGTCAGCTCAGGCTCGTTCGTCACTTGCTTGTCCTACTTAGCTCCAAGGTAATTTTTCTCACCGCTTTATTGAGGAATGCTACTTGATATAGCGAGCAAGAGCAAGAGCAAGAAAAACAGGGAGACCTGTTTCTCCTGCACGCAGGCAATTTAGTGGAGCGATGCCCTGGAATCTCATGGCACGCGGGCGCCTGGCAGCCGTCTGTGTGTGCACTGCCATGGCACAGCCCGTGAGCAGGATCGCAGGGTGTGATCTTTACAGTCGACTCAAGCGCGAGGCGCAGGGGTGGTGTGGCACACACTTGGTGTTGGGGGAGGTCGTCGGCGGGCTGCACGTAGGCGTAGAGGCCGCACGGCACCACGAGCAGCAGCGCCACGCCAGTGCCCCACGTGAGCACGGCCCAGCGGCACGACGAGGTGTCGAGGCCCAGGAAGCGCAGCGTGGAGCGGAAGCGACGCACCTGCGCCTCGTGCAGCCGCGATGACGCACTCGCCTGCACCTGCTGCGCCGACGACCTGGGGGGGGGAGGGTGGGTGCAGGGGTTTGAGGGGGATGCTTTGGGGGGTGTTTTGGGGGTTTCATTCATGCATAGTGAACGGGAGGAGGAGACAGAGGGATGTGTGGAGTGGTTGATGTTGGTATGGCGGGCAGCAGGCATATGGGAGGAGAAGTGGTGCCGTCCTTCCTGTGCGCGCTGCCCCTCCATGCCGCACCACGCCTCTCGCACAAGGAATGCCTTGCCTCGCACTTCAACTAACTGCCTCTCTCGCACGTGTGTGTGGGCGCTCTACCTTCGGTCTCGATACGCGGCGTATCTGGGCGAGTGGCACAGCAGCGAGTACTCGCGCTCCTCCGCACTCGCATCTGCACGCCCCCCCACATCCACCCTCGCGCGCCTCTCCACCTCGCCGCCTCCCCCACCTCCTCCCGCCACTTCCTCTCCTCTGCACATCTCTTTTTCCACCCACCACACGCTCCCACTCGACTTCTCACTCACTCTCTCGCCCCCTCTCTCCTCCGCACTCCCCCGCGCGCTCCCCCTGTGCGCGCACCCCCCTGGCGCTGCCCACAGTGCGTCCTGCTCCACGGGCCACACGCCGTCGCCTGTCACGCCGTCGTCAAACTGCCACGCGCCCCTGCCACCACCACCGCGCGCGCTGCTACCGACGTCCACCGTGCTGTCCGCGCAAGGCCCTGAGCCCATTCCGCCACGCCCTCGCGCGCCTGCATGCTCGCTCGCCTCACCACGCCTGCCCTCCTCCCTCGTCCCGCCCGCAGCGTCACTCTCCGCCCCACCACCGCCCCTCGGCCACCCGCCCTCATTGCCACGCGCCCCGCACGACTCGTCACCATCGCCCTCGCGCGTGCCGTGAGAGGCGTCGCCATGCGTCGTAGCAGTAGCGACGGTGGTGCGGGCGGGAGCAGCTGCAGCACGGGGAGCAGGAGCACGGGCGTCATCGTCACCTCGCCACTGGCCCGCGTCCACATCGCTGCTCTCTTTGCTGCTGCACCCGCTGCGCCTACTCCGTGCCTCCACTGCGTCTCCGGAGCACCATCGCCCAAAACTCAGATTCGCCGCGTCGCCTGCGCGGATATGCGAGCCGTCGTTTTGACCGTTGAGTTTGAGCCCACCGGCGCGGCCATCGAGATCGGCGCCTCCGCCACTAGCGGCGATCGATTCGGCGAATCCTCCTGAAGCCATCGCGGCGCGGGCCAGGGAGGACGGGGGAACCGGGGGAAGGGCGGCGGCTGAGGAGGATGGGACGCGGATAGGCCGCAGGGAGCGGGGAATGGCGGCTGTAGCAGCACGCATGTTGGCGCCGCTTCTGGCATCGCCATCGCGCTGGTCGCTGCTGTTCGTGGCGTCACCGCTGCTGCCGTCGTTGCCGATAGGCAGGCACGCAGCAGAGCTGGGTGATGCACGCGCGCCGCCTACGGGCCGTGTAGGAGGCAGGTTGACGGCACAGACCCGCGAATCCACCTCGCGCGACCCCATCGACGGTGATTGAGGCGCAAGCGAAAGGTGCTCCGCTGAGCTGTAACGAGCCCGCTTGCACGATAACTGAGATAAAACACTACGGAATGCCGGCCGATATCCTCCTTCTAGCCATGGCATCAGATTGGACTGAACTGGGCCGCCAGAACCGCTGCGAGATGTGTTCGTGGGACCGGCTAATGAACCATGGGGGGAAATGGTAAGGACGCGGCACTTCTAGGGAGCAGCCATGATCAATCCTGAGTGGGGATCGATCCTGCCTTGTACAGTGAAATCGCGACATCGCCAACAGGCTGGTATCCGTCTTCGCCCCACCTCGCAAGTGTACAGCAAATTGGTGCCCAAAATGGTGGCACCTCTGGCTCGCACGATCGATGTGCCAACCCCCACACATCGATCGTGAAATTGTGGAGATCGGGCAATTTTGCCCCTTGTATTCTCGATCCTGTCACCTGTGGCTCGGTGTGTCCGGGCGATTGCAAATCTGCAGTGTGGACACATCGATATGCGGATCGATGTGCCTAAACCGGTGTGAGGCCCCGAACTTCGCCGACCCTGACAATTTCCCTAGAGGTGCCGCGTCCTAACAGGCTACGAAAATTGCACGTCGTTGCGGCATGAAGAAAACAACACTCCCAGCAGACGCGACAGCCTGACCTACAGCAGCAGTATAGCGGTACATTTGGCAGGGCTAAGGGCGTGTAACTTTTTCCCGAACCAACGGTCCGGACGGTATGCGAAAGTTTTTGTCAATGCTCGCATGCTCTACAATTGGATAACGGGCTCAAACGGTCAAGAGAGAGCGAGATACCCTATTCGCGCGCCGTCCGTACCGAGTGGTTCGGAAAAAAGTTACCCTAAGATGAACTACAAATGTGAGCAACAATAGTTGAACTATACAAAATTCCATTCTTAGTGAATTATTTGGTTGGAATAAATATACTTTTTGTCCATTCACAGCTTTCAAACACCCCCCACCCTGTTGGGCTGAAAAAGCCCTTTGGATCGTTTCAAAGGCTAAGATAATCAGTAAGGATAATGTAATTGCGGAAGCGTTCTTAGATAACTATTGAACCACCTTGCACTAGTGTGCGAGAGGAACATAGATCGATTATAGCAAAGTAATACAATGCTTTTATAAGATTACAAGGAATATGAAAAGGTGCAGTTAACTGGTTGCTGCTTGCTGTTGCGGTTCGAACCAGTGACGACTCGGGCAACTGCTCAATATCGTGTCAGTTGTTTGTGTCTGAAACTAATGAGCAGGAATGAATGCATTGCTCAGAAATGTGGTACAAGTACTATCCTTAATTGGGTTGTACCCCATATAGGCTACCCACAACAACCTATACAACAAAAGCAGCATTATAGTTTGACACACCCCCGTAGGCAAAGTGGGGGAGAACAAGGGGTCACAAGACCAGTCAAGAAAAGCAAAGCAAGCTCAAGGTGGATCACGAAGTCACCACACACTCTGACCACAAGCAAATGGCCACAAGGTCAGTTCACATGCAGAGTTACCGTATTCTCCCGGACATAACACCCTAGGGTATAGCTAAAAATACAGGGAAAAAATGGGGGGGGTCTCCTCATAGGAAAAAAATACATAATACCCGGGTCTTTACATATGGCATATCTTAGTGTTAGTGTTTTTTTAATTAGTCAATGTGGGTGTTTTGCTGGTCGTTTTAGCATCACTGCCTGAGGCGCGAATGTGAGTTTCGGCCTCGAACTTCATCGCCCCCACGAAAATGGCATGTGGCACCTCTCTTGCCACTTGCAACGGAAGATTCACCTGCACGTGACGACAGAGAAATAGTGGGAGGGGGCAAATCTCGGCAGATTGCCTTTGAATGTACCGCGAAATTTCATTGAGGGAGAAATTCACACGATATTCTTCCGTATTGCAGCTACTCGTTAACGACTATAATAATGAATCCGTAAGAAAAGGGGGGGTGTTATAGAAAATCAGCCAAAAAGGGGGGTATAGTAGAAACGAGGTCTATCATAACACCCACCCCGCACAAGCTACCCGGGGGTGTACAATTATGGGGGGGTGTTTTGTCCGGGAGTATACGGTATATATGGGAACAAGCAGTACAGTGATCACAAGTAAACATGCAGTACATGTATATAGATCATAGTACAAGCAAAGTCACGAAATGAGCAAGTGAGGGAAAGTAGGCACGATACCTAAAACAGTACAGAAACGCTGATGATCACGAGGCTGGAGTGCCTTGGCGAATATATTAGCAGTGTTGGCCCGAGTGGCCATGTAAGCAAGACGAAGCTGACCACGCTGCTGCGACTCTCGCCCTGTGCTCCAGTCTGTGCTCCTGACACAAAGCAATCATGGCCTTATTGTCTACCTACAGAACTGGAGGAGAACTAGGCCACTCTCCCAAGTCGGTTAGCAGGTAGGTGAGCCAGCGTAACTCCTGTGCAGCCATGGCCCCTGCGTAGATCTCAGCCTCACAACTGGAACTGAGAACAGAAGACGAGCGCGTAGACTGCCAAGAAACAGAACCAGATCGAAGGCTGAAAGTGTAACCCTGTGACGACCGCTGCGTAGCCAAGTCGTCAACCCAAGACGCGTCTGCGTGGCCAGTGAGAACAACTCGACTCTGTCCTCCAAGCACGAGCCCCATGCCCGACGTACTGCACAAGTAGCGCAACACCCTCTTAGCGGCCTCCCAGTGCTCTGGTCGGTGTCTCCCGGGCGCAACGTAGCGTGCCAGGATGCTGAGAGGGTAAGCGAGGTCAGGTCGAGTGCATGTCATCAGGTACATGAGGCAGCCCACAAGCTCTGAATACGGGCCAATCGGCTCTATGGACTCGTCCAAAGGTGGAGCTGAGAGCGAGTGACTGGTAGGCAGAGGAGTGGACTGTGGCGAGGACCAAGTTAAGCCGAAGCGCTGAAGGACCTACTGCACCATGTGTGATTGAGTCAGGGTGATGGTGCGGCGTGCTCTGTCCCAGGTGATCCGCAAGCCAAGATAGCTGCGCAGCTCACCCAAGCCTGTGCATGTATCTCTCTTCTGCAGCTCCGACTTCACAAGAGTCAATGCCTCAGTGTCAGAAGTAGCAAAAACCAAGTCGTCGATGTACACGGGGATGTAGAACGGTGCCTGCGAAGTGTCGGTACACAGAAACAGCGACGGGTCAGCAGTCGTAGGAGCAAACCCAAGAGCCACAAGTGTCGTCCTCAGTGTGTCGTGCCAATCACGAGGCGCCTGGTGGAGACCGTAGACTGGCCGCCGGAAGCTCCACTGGCCAGGAAACGACCCAGTGAAGCCAGGTGGGCGGCGCAGCCAGATCTCGTCGTGCAGGCTGCCTTGTAAGAAAGTTGTGCTGAAGTCAAGAGAGTGAAGCTCGTAGTCGCGCTGAGCGGCGACGTGCAGCAGCACCCGAAGAGTGGTCATTTTTGGGGTAAGGGAGAAGGTCTGGAAGAAGTCAACTCCCTGTCGCTGACTAAACCTCGGTGCAACGTAACGAGCCTTGAAGACAGGCGGAGAACCCGGCGGCCGCTTCACCCTGAAAATCCACATGCCATTGAATATGTTCGCCCCAGGAGGGGGAACTGCGTTGACGTAAGTGCCTGTGGACTTCCAGGATCCCATCTCTGTGTCCATGGCTGTCTGCCACTGAGAGGAGTAAGGACCCGTAATCTCCTCTGCGTAAGAGCGCGGGGTGGGGATGTCTGAAGCATCAGGGTCTCCCTCAGGTGCAAGTAGCATGGACACGAGATGAGGTATAGCAACTGCAAGACACTCAAAGTCCTCCTGCCTGTCCTCAAGGACGTCCGTGCCAATAGCACACTCACCCCCGACAGACGGAGGATAGACAGATTCAGACCCAGCAACAAGACTAGCAGTGTAGTTGAGACGACAAGCAGCAGCAAAGTCAACAAGCTCGGCGACACGCAGCAGTGGACTCAAACGAAGGGTCAGTGACAATGGTGGCCAGGAGACGCGTGACAGTAGGACTGGCAGCACGAACTAAGTCAGACTCAGGGTCCGGTCCGTCAGGAAGAGAGGACGCAGGAGGAGACGACAGGGGAACTCGCAGTGGAACAGAGGAAGGAGCGTCATATAGTGAGTGCCGGGGACAGGAGGAGGACGCGGACGCGGAGCACGACGACTAGTGCGACCAGTGCGAACAGGCGAGGCAGGGCAAGACGCAGGCTCACGGCGTTCTGTAACAGAGTCTGTCTGCTTAGTGTAAGGAGAAGGAGCAGGCAGCGGGGAGTCTGGCTGTAACTGTGGCTGCGACTAGTCAGGCGGTGGACACAGAAAGGGAGGAGTTAGGCCAGTAGAAGACGGGAGACTAAGAACCTGGTGAAGCACCGAGCCAGGTGGCGGCAGAGACGACGGCGACGGTGGAGCAAAAAACAGGCGCCGTGGCACAGTGCCTCCAGCACCTCCAGCACCAGCTGCACCACCAGCTCGTGCAGCTCCAGTACCTCCAGTACGAGCACCTCTGGGACTTGCAGCTCCAGCACCTCCAGCACCTCCAGCACCACCAGCACCACCAGATCTAGCAGCCCCTGTACCTCCAGCACCAGCAGTACCACCTGCTCCGGCAGCTCCAGTGCCTCTAGTACAAGCACCTCCAAGACTAGCAGCTCTAGCACTTGCACTACCTCCAGCACGAGCACCTCCGGGACCAGCAGCTCCAGTACCTCCAGCAACAGTACCACCACCAGCTCCAGCAGCTCCAGTGCCTCCAGTGCCTCCAGTAGCAATAGCACCACCAGCTCCGGCAGCTCCGGTGCCTCCAGTACGAGTACCTCCGGGAGCAGTAGCACCATCAAGCACCTCCAGCAGCAGCAGCAGCACCACCAGCTCCAGCAGCTCTCTAGTACGAGCACCTCCGGAACTAGCAGCTCCAGCACCTCGAGCAGCAGCACCACCACGAGCTCCAGCAGCTCCGCAAACTCCACAACCTCCAGCACCTCCAGCACTAGCAGCACCACCAGCTCTGGCAACTCCAGCGCCACC